CTTCCACTGGGGGGCGCCACAAGGCCTTCTCCACGTGTGCTTCCCACCTGATCGCTATCACAATCTTCCATGGGACCATTCTCTTCCTGTACTGTGTTCCCAACTCCAAAAGTTCATGGCTCATGGTCAAGGTGGCTTCTGTCTTTTACACTGTGGTCATTCCCATGCTGAACCCACTGATCTATAGCCTCAGGAACAAAGATGTGAAGGAGACAGTCAAGAAGTTAATCAATACCAAATTATCGTGACACATAATGTAAAGTGGCTTGTCACATAAAGACTTTTGAGTTAGTACACATGACCATTTGACCACCTACGTAAATCTTCGATTCCTTTTTAAGTCATTGAAGATTGAGTTTATAGAGTTACCCTGAAAACATATGGTTTATCGTGGGGAAGGATACATCAAATGTAGTCTAGTCAATTAAGAGCTGATCATGCTCGCTTCGGCAGCACATATACTAAAGAGCTGATCAACACTCACACACTAATTTTAAAAGTAATATTTCTTCAATTTTACACAAGGAACATTGATACATTACAAATACAAAGAAGGCGTATCTCCGCCCCACTAAAGTTCAGAACACTGCTTAGTAAAATTGTATTTAATATAAATTTTATTTTCTCTTTTTGTATACAAAATATGAAAATAAAAATTAATAACTGTATAGTTCAGAAACAGCTTTTGCTAAATCTAAATTTATCATTCCTGCTCATCTTGCGTTGTGAGTTAGCTATTGATGCATAAACACAATGACATAAGATTTTAGTCATATGTTACATTAGGTAATTATTTATTGGTTGGTTGATTGGATAGCCCTGCTAATATCAGAAAAATCATCTTGGTTAACTTGATATCGTTTTGTCTAACTGGACAACTTACTTCCAGTTCATAGATCTGCATGGTGATTGGGTAGCTGTGCTCTGTGGATCTATGGTCCCCTTTGAACCACGGGGCTAGTTAGAGGATTTTCTTGCAGTGTTCACGGCAGAATCACAAAAAAGAACGCGATATAACAAAAGATGCTTCAAGTTCCCTTGTGTATCATGTCTATCAACATTTTATCAGCCAGTGCAAATCACACAGCTGAGCACAGGGTCGATGGTTGCCAAGGTATATCTAAGCTGCAAGACTGAAAAGTTTCATGGCAAAGAGCATACATACAGGGAGTCATGAAGAACTGGGTCCAATATTTCAATATTCCTGAAGTTTATGGTAAATCTTACTTCGTGGAAAATATCCTTCTCCTGTATTCCAGATAAATATAATATAACTGTCTTAATTTGACAGAACTTTTAAATACATTGGTGCACCATTTGATTGGCTTAACTACATGACTGTGTTAGTTATTGCTTGCAGATTGTGATTGATGACTCCCAGGAGAGGTAACGTCTTGGTAAATTTCCAAGTAGCATAGTTTCAATCCCACTGCACACTATATTACTGGCTTCGGCCAAATCATGAGGTTTTTATTTCCAAATAAAATATTCCAATTTCCTTTATATAAAGCTTTGCTCTTTATACACCTATTCATCTGATTGTTTAGCAATACGTAACAATATACGAGCAAATCATGATATGTAATTATGGGCTTTTGTGATTTATTTAACTTTTAATTCTCTATTAACCAAGTATCAAAAGCATTCAACCAATTCCAGTAGAATACCTTTATAGGCTGTGTGTGTATGTTAATACAAATATTTTAAGGATAGAAAAAATGTATTTAGGGAGTGTGTGAAAACAGTATAGAATTAACTATATGTGGCATATGATATAGAGCTTTGGATTTAAGATGTTAACATTTAAAAAATATCATAGATGTGAGGTAAAATGTTATTTTGAAACTAATTGGATTTGTGCCGTGCAGGACAAAATTAAACTCTACAGAAAGATCTCTGAATAACTGCAAAATCTTTTTAAATAGGTTACTGGTTTATTCTGGAAAATGTTTTTGAATGGACACTTATTCACACAAATGTAATACAGAAGTTCTCCAAGAATTTCAAAATTATAATTTTAATCTGAATATGCACATTTTAAGTGATAAGTGTATGATTACTAATGTATATTATTTCATTGGGGGTTCTATAAAGTCATAGTAATGAGCTATTTATTTCTATGTATGTTATACTCATCTTTAACTTTTTGTTAGTAGTTTGGATAGAGGCAAATTTTTTGTTTGGTTTCTGAAGGCTGTGGCAAGACTCTTGGTAAAGATATTCACAAGATCATCTTGTACAACAAAAAATGTACAGAAGTAATAGCCACTTAATGGAGGAACTGTTATAAGTTGAATGTTGACCACGTTATGTACATATTAATTTTCATATTGTGTTTAGTAATAAATAAGAGTTCAGGAAATGTACTAATGTTGGACAGTTGGCTTATGATATGAATATTTCAGTGGTGATAGGTGGTATTTTTATTGTGTATCTGGTATTTCCTACTTCATCATCTTAGATGGAACCTGAAAGAGAAAAAGGAAAGCTACATGGACAATTAGAGGAAGGGATTGTGGCTCTCCTACATCAGTGCTCTGTTTTCTGGATATTACTGCTTAGTTACTTAGTTCATTCAAGTTGAGGATAGTCTTGAAGAAAAAAGTTGCATTCAAAGCACAAGGGATGTGAAAGCAGTCCTGAGCTTGTGCCTCTGATAGAAGCAAAATCCTGGAGTGATTTTCTGGTTGCATTTGGTGTTTATTTCCCTACTGCTATAATTTAAATTCCAGGAAAGCCTTACAAAAATAAAAAAAATAAATAAAGCCTTATCTCCAATGTAAATAGCACATTAGAGAAGATATAATTCCAACTTTACATACATTTATCCCAGCAGGCAGAGAAGGGAACACTTTCCAGTTCATTGTAGGCCAGCATCCCCAGATAAGGAAATTATAGAACAACATATCATAAATATGCATGGACAAATATTTAAAAGAACAAATAAAATTTATTGGTATATAAAAAAAGCTAGTACATCATATACAAGAGGGAGTTAATCCGGGAATGCAGGAATGATGTATAATTTGAGTCCATTATTATAATTTGTCCCATGGACAAAATAATGTAGCGAAACATATAGTTACCTCAACAGATGTAGAGAATACTTGATGGAATTAAGCAACTATTCATGATAAAAATACTCAGTAAAGTAGGAATAGAAAGGACAGATTGTTAGAAGGAAGAACTCATTTACTTCTTTCTGGACAATAAGGCATCAATAGTGTGTAAGACTGGAGCACTAGAATTTTAGTTAGGATGAAAACAAACTATTTTCCTTAGACATATTTGAGCTAATTACTGCAGACACTTGAGGCAGAGAGAAAACATAGGGTCAAAGTTCATTTCCTTTCGATAGCTGGCTTCCTTTGAAACAAAATTTTCATAAAATTAACCATATTAGAGTTAAAAATTCAGTGTCATTAAAACATTCACTATATTATTCAACCAACACCTCTACCCAGTTCCAAAATATTTTCACCATTTCAAAAGCAAACGTCATACCCGTTAATCAGTTTTTCTCCATTCTGCCTCTCCACCCAGAACCCGATAATGACCATTCTGTTCATAATGTATTTATCCATTCTTATATTTCATATCATGCATTTATCCATTCTATATATTTCATATTTCACGAGTGCCTAGCTTCTTTCATTTGTCATGTTTTCAAGGTTCATCCACGTTGTAACATACATCAGTACTTTATTCCTCTATATGGTTGAATAGTCATCCATCATATGTGCATATTACAGTTCATACATCTGTTGAAGTACATTTATTGATAGATATTTGGATTGCTTGACCTTTTGGCGTTTGTGAATAGTGCTATTGTAAACACCTATGTGCAAGTATCTGTTTGGGTGCCTGTTATCAACTGTATTCAGCTACACCTATTCAGTTTTTTCCTAGGAGTGGAATTGCTGGGTACTTGGAATTACCCAAACTGTAAGGTTAAAAGGCCCCATACGCAAGACTACACTCACTTTTGACACAAATTGCAAGTTAGAGGAAACCACCCTTAGGTTTATTAATTTGCTAACAGTTTTCAAACAACTCACTGAAACTCCCGGTTTATCCAGTGATAAACCACATAAACCAAAATAAGATCAATCATCTGAAGGAAGAAACACACAGAACAGAATCTAGAAGAGATCCCAAAGAGGAGCTTCCAGTGTCCTTGGACATGTTACCATTCCAGCTTCCACGTGTGACAATACACATGGATCATTGGCAATTAGGGAAGATCACACAAGCCTCAGTGTTCAGCTTTTATTACGGTTCTATTACATAGGGTTGATTTATTGACTGTCCACATGGTTGATCTCCCAGCCTCCAGGTTGACTGTAGACAAAAGACCACTATAGGCCAAGATTGACATATGTGGTCAGCCCCAACTTAAGATCAGGTGTGGCACTGATCATAAACAGACCCTCCTATCAGGTAAGACATAGATCACCTCCAAGAAACTGAGACTAAAAGCTGGACTTGCATTTGTGCGAGACCAATTTTTTTTTTTTTTTTTACTACACATTGAGTCTAATAGTCTATTTATGTGAGGAATAACCACACTGATTTCCACAGTGCCTGAACCATTTTGGGCTTCCAAGAACAATGTACAAAAGCTCCAATTACTCTATATCATCACCAATGTTTGCTACTGTGCATTTTTGTTCCTTTTTAAATTATAGCTCTCCTAGTGAAGAAGTGGCATGTCATTGTGGTATTGATTTGAATTTTCTTAATCACTAAAGACGTTGAGGATCTTTTCATGTGCTTGCGGGGCATTTGTAGATCTTGGGAGAAATGTCTATTTAAATCATTTGCACATTTTCTAACTGGAAGGCTTGACTCTTGGGTGTTTGTTGTAAGAGTTCTACATATGTTGTGGATTCTACTCCATTATCAGATATATGATTTGTAAATCTTTTCTCCTATTCTCTGACTTCAATAATAGTGTGTGTTTTTTTTTGATGCACACAAATTTTAAATTTTTATTAAGTCCAATTTATCTATTTTTTTCTTTTGTCATTTGTGCTTTTGGTCCCGTATTTAAGGATTCATTGCCAAATCCAAGGCTATAAAAATTACGGCTAAGTTTTCTTCTAAGCGTTCTATAGGTTTTGACATTACTTTAGGTCTTTGTTCAATTTTGAGTTAACCACTGTATATGGTATAAAGTAGATGTCCAGGGATGCTGGGTGGCTCAGTCAGTTAAGCGTCCAACTTTGGCTCAGGTCACGATCTCACC